GTGCTTTGTGGGCAGCCGGGGTTTAACCTGCTGTAGTGTTTTAGATTCCAATGTGGGGCTGGAACTTCCTTGCTGTTAGAAATAGGCAGTTTATTCATTTGTCAAATATCTGTAAACGTCTGTGTACCAGGCCCTGGGCCAAGCATGAAAATGCATTGGTGAATAAAACAGACCATAGTCTCACCCTGCACACACCTGTCAGTTGAAGGGCAGCAAACAGTGGGAGTGGATTTGCGATGGGGTGGATTCGCCAGGATGCTGACGGCTCATCTGTGCAGGCCGCCTCCTGTGACTCAGGAGTGGGGATGCAGGAAGGGGGTCTGCGCGGGTCTGTCGCGCAGTGCAGGAGGCGGCATGTCGCTTGTCAGCAGCTCTGTGTTGGAATGCAGTATGGAATGCCGTCTACAAAAGTGTCACGTGCAGATGACAATGACGGCAAACACTGTCAACTTCTGTTGTTTGCTGGGTACTGTCGTAGGTCCTTTGAACGTGTTTTTTCATCTTCTCCCATGAGAAACAGGTACCATCAGTATCCCTGCCTTTTACAGAGGAGAAAACAGGCTCAGAGAGGCTGGGCTGCATGCCCGGGGCTCTGCTAGGTGATGGGAGGGCCCGTGCTGCCCCCTGCCCGCTCAGCTGCTGCTAGCCAGAGCCTTTCAGAGAGCCCACCGGCTGGAAGACTCAGGTTCTAGCTTTAGTGACTGATGAAGAAAAAGGATTTGGGGGGCCTTGTTCCATATTGCTAACATTTGAATGCTTATGTCTAAACACGTTTAGCATGTAGGTAATTAGTAAAAGGAAGGAAGATCTGGGAAGAGATGAAAATCACAATATTAGAATTCCAAAGGGGGCAAGATTTATGATCCCAATATATTTTCAGTTTAATACAAAAAAATGTCTTTAGAAGTTATGAATATTTAAAATAATCTCCCAGGAATGTACCTAGTTCTTAGGCAGCTTGGAATTTTTATTGAAAACTAACCACATTGGTTTCTTTTTGAGTTCATTCTCATAATTCAGTAACTGCTTCCTTTTAGAAACAGATGAAGGGGGTTGAGAATATATTGCTTGACCTCCACCTGTGGCAAAGTCACAATCAAAACTTAGCAGACGTTCTACTTATAATGGAAGGGAAGCCAGTCTACTTTTCCAGTTACATTTGGCCTTATCTATAATGAGAAAACCTATCTTTTGGAGGAATTGAAATTAACTCTCTAATGGAAGGAGAAAATGAGGGCTGTGAAGAGCCCCGTTGGCGCAGCCACGTGACCAGTCCTGTCTGGGCCTTCATCAGCAGGGGAGGGACGTGCGGCAGTAAAACGCAGTCGTGGAATTTATCGCTTACGACAGATTTCAGAAGAAACCGAGTATTCTCCAGTTCTTTGTAAGCCCCATGTGATGTGAGCCCGGCAAGAAAACTAGCAGGGAGTATCGGGCCTTCACATACTAAATCACGAAGAAAGTTGCGGTTTTCAGTCAAGTCAGAAAGGTCAGGAGCCTCTTTCCGCTTCTCGTAATTGTGAATAGAGTCAGGACGGAAGGTGGGGACAAACTGCTGGTCGCCGGCTTCCATGCAGCTGTGTGAAGGAGTGCCGGCCCCGGGCGCAGTTGCCTGGGACTGACTCATGCCTCTGATCGGAGGTGTGGGTGACACAGACGGAGACACCGTACAGAATGGGTCCCACTGCGGGGCACTCACTGCAAAGGAGTGCAGGTGGGGCTTGCCCGGGGCAGGAGACAGCAGTGCTGATCTGCACGTGGTTCGGGACAGTGTAGAAATTACACTTTGTTCTCCCCTCTGTTGGAATGGGTAAAATAGTTGTAAGGTCATAAGAAGTTCTCAAATGAACGCCGCTTTCCAGGTCTTGATACGACACAGGACTTGAGGGTTGAGTGGAAATAACCCCAGAAGACTCCCCTGCTTTCTCAGAAAGTATGTTTTATCCTGTCTGTCCTGTTATCTGACACTGTGTCCCTCAGCTCCTTAACATAGAAGTGACGGATGCAGCACATGAGTTAGGAGCCCTGAACTCGGCTGAGTCCAGTTCAGGATGAAAGCTTGCCACCAGATCAGTAGTGTAACACTTTCAGCCCTGGTTATGGTTTAGCATACTCTTCCTGCTTTTTAATGAAAAATCTGACGGATGTCAATAATAGAGTGAAAATTAGCAGCAAGCATTCATGTCAGAAAGTTCTATGAAGATGGAAGGGAATGAAAGCAGCTAGGACACAGAATGCAGAGAGTGTGGCCGGGGCAAGGACTGGCAGTCTGTCAGCCCAGAGGAGGAAGCCCCTGTGTGCTAGGAGCACTAGGCAGGACCATGCCTCGAGGGCAGGGGCGCCAGACTCTCCGAGTCGGCGGAGGCTCCTGGGCAGCTGGAGCTCCAGAGCACGAGTACGTGAGAGATTGCCCAGGGACGCTGGTAGCCGGTGAGAGTGAAATCCACACTCCGAGTGATTCCGGCCTCCCAGCATCACTCAGTGACATGTGGGTGGGTGCGGGGTCCGCGGGCCACGTTCAGGGCGGCTCTCCTGAAATCGTGGGCTGGCCGGCCGGGGAGCTGCTGAGAGAGCGGAGCAGGGCCGGAGAAAGTGGAGTGTCTGTACAGAGGACTTGCAGGAGGAGCCCTTCTTGGTAGAGATGGTGCATTTCAGCCGAGACAGTGCATAGAGTGAAAATTTTCCAAAGAGAAGGATGAGTTATGAAACATGGAAGCTTGTGTATGATGCGATGGTTTCCAGGTTTCCAGAATTCACAGTTCTATTGGCTGTAGGCTATTATTTTCATGTCTAAGTCAAGAGAAAATCTGGTTTTTAAAATCCCCAAATTTAGTAATTTTGGTAAGATTTATATCATACAGGTTGAAACTTCCCCTGGTTCATTTTCATGTGAGGAATAAAATGAACCCTTTGGGAGCTTTTAACCTGTTACATGTTGAAATCTCTGATTAAAAAAAAAAAAATCGGGGTGCCTGGGTGGCTTAGTCAGTTAGGTGTCCAGCTCTTGCTCTGGGCTCAGGTCTTGATCTCAGGGTCGTGAGTTCAGGCCCCACATGGATCTTCACACTGGGTGTGGAGCCTACTTAAAAAATGATAATAAAATAAAATTTAAAAGAGAATGGTGTCATCATGGGCAAATCATTTAATGTCCTGAGTTTCTGTTTCCTTGGCTGTGAGTTGGGACTCGTGCCCCGCTGTGCTGCCCAGTCCTGAGCTCAGGTGGTGGGGGCCCCGCACAGACCGTGGCGTGCAGTATGTACATAAGCCACTGGTGACGAAGGTGGCCGTTGTACCGGCGACTTGTGGCCCCCAGGGCCCCAGTGCCCATTGGTCCTTACTCTTGTAGTAGGTGCTCCCACAGTATCTGTTCTCAGGGTACTCACGTTGGCCTTGCCAAGGTGGTTTATTGAAATACTGGGCAAATCACTGCATCGTTAGTCACCGAGCGGTGGGGGGTGTGTCCGGAGCGTTGGCTCCCGAGTGCAGAGGCCGAGCATCCGTGCCAAGTGGAGAGAAGTGTCTCCTGCGGTGGTTTGCTGGTAGCGAGACCATAGCCTTGGTTTAGACCCTGCCCTGGGCTCTGGCTGAGTTCTCCGGCCGCCTCCAGAGCCAGCTTCGCTGGGGCTGCAAGAGCAGTCCAGAGGAGCCCGAGAGTCGGCCTCGGATCCGGGTGACCCGCCCAGTTCCAGACCCAGCACTTCACCAAGGCCGTTACCCGAGTCTCCCTCATCAGGGGACCATTGCTGCCCCTGTGCCCCGCACGCGGGCAGGTCCACAGGTCGTTTCAGTACTAGCCTGGGTGCTTTGACTTGATCTTTGAGCTTGTGCCCAATTCTCAGAACATGGACAGACCCAGTGCTCCTGAGAGTTGGCTTGGATCCCAGGGTTCTCCAGGACGGTTCCTTGGGCTCTCCCAGTGGTAATAGTCCTCTTGCTGATGGGCCACTGTTGCAGCCAGCAGGCTTTTCTGGAGCTTTTCGTGGGTGCTCTTCCGTTTACTGTGCAGCATTCTTACAATGCCGCGGGGAGAACAGACTTAAAAAAAAGAGAGAAGGGAGGTCAGTGTAGTTTGCAAAAACGTTATCAATGTTGTACGATGATGTCACATTTAGAGATGACAGCTAAGTGTATTAGTAATAAAATGACAGAAAAAGACTTAGCATTTCAAGTTTACGAGAAGGGAGTGATTTTTAAAAGTTGAAATACTGGCTGAGTTTCAAAGAAGAAATTTTTAAATGAAAATTATTTTGGTGATCTGTATAATTAATGAATTCTTTCTGGAGAAGTGGAAAAAAAACGGTGAGGCTTTCTTTAAATGCTTCACCGGAAAAAAAAAAAATGCAAATGTGGTGCTTTTAAAGATCTCCACGAATACTTAAAAGGCCAACTGAAAAATGAAATAATTTAGTTTGTCTCTAAATAGACTTCTAGTGGAAGAATGTTAATCTGTGAGAATTCAAAGTGTCTTATCCAATGGAATCCAACTGTGAGACATTTCTTTTGTAGCAGAATGGTTTCTTAGACATTTCACGTTGTCCTGTTACCGCAGAGCTTGCTGTGTCTGTAAAGCTGCACGTTCAGTGTCTTTTTCTTCTTTGGAAGTAAAGGCTCCATGACTGGGGTTTATGGTTGTCTTCAGAAGGTAGAAAATTACAGCGTGTTTGAGAAGATTGACGCCAAGGACGCAGAAAGTAGACTTTTAGCTTTTTAGATGAATGGGCAGGAAGGGTCAAGGGTCAGTAATTGCATGGATTTCAGTAAGCTTTAAAAAAAATAATTTCCCTGTTTTGCTATAGTGATACCAGAACATGGAATTCATGTTTTGATGCTGCTTTTGATGTTTGCCTGTTTCCTTATGGGAGGGTCACTTACTGCGCAAGACCTCGTGGGAGGCTACGGGACACAGTTACTTGATGTTTTCAGGTTGGAACCCCGTGTGTGTCCATTCCTCGAAATGGCCATCTCCCTGCCTCTCATCTTGTTTTCCCATTGTTCTGTAGGGGCCTCCAGAGTTCCCGCAGCACACAGCTGGGCCCGTTCCCAGCAGTTTCAGCCAGCCCCCCCGACTTCCTCTCCAGGACCAGTGGAGGGCCCCGCCCCCGCCGCAGGAGCGAGACCCTTTCTTCTTAGGAGGTAAAGGACCGTCCGGGCTCACAGAACAGAGTTACATTGGGTGATGCGCCTGAGCACCTGCCTGTTGCAAGCGGAGTTGAGCTTCCAGTAGCAGATTCTTGCACAGTGTCAGATTTTGTACCAGAGCGCTTCCTCGCCACTTCAGATGCTAACACTGGACACTGTTGGTATCTCGGTATGAGAATCTCCTGCCAAGGAGGTGGTCCTCTGTAGAAGAGGAGTGATGAAGCAATCTAGAAATAAATTGTAAAGTGTAGACTTCGCATCCTGCCCACCGCTTATCATTTCTGTTCCCAGTAAGATGGCACATAAGACTGCTGTTGGGGGCGCCCGGGGGGCTCAGTGGGTTAAGCCTCTGCCTTCGGCTCAGGTCATGGTCTCAGGGTCCTGGGATCGAGCCCCGCATCGGGCTCTCTGCTCAGCGGGGAGCCTGCCTCCCCCCCCCACCGCCGCCCTGCCTCTCTGCCTGCTTGTGACCTCTCTGTCAAATAAATACAATCTTAAAAAAAAAAAAAGACTGCTGTTGGGTGATGGGCGTGTTGTGTGTGAGCCAAGGGTAACGTTGCACCACCGTTCAGTTTCAGGTGAACCAAGGTTCCCGAGTCACCTGTTTCTGGAACAGCGAAGCCCCCCGCCGCCGCCGCCGCCCCCCACGCTTCTTAGCAGCACTCACCCAGTGCCCACCCCCAGCCCCTTACCGTTCACTCAGCCGGGACCAGCGTTTAGTCAGCAGGGACAGCAGCCCGTGTTCCCCAGAGAGAGGCCCGTCCGGCCGGCCCTCCAGCCGCCAGGTCCCGTGGGGATCCTCCACTTCAGCCAGCCGGGCTCAGCGGCCACGCGGCCCTTCATCCCTCCTCGACAGCCCTTCCTGCCCGGCCCGGGACAGCCGTTCCTGCCCGGCCACGCGCAGCCCAGCCTGCAGGTACGCAGCAGGCTGTGTGGAGGGGGCACCGGAGCCTTGGGTCTGTATGTCTCAGAAGGTGACGTTTCCTGTGCCGTCTGAGTCTGCTAGTGTGTGGAGGTTATGGAGAGGATGGGGTTTAGTCTTGAACGTGCTACTTATTAAAGGCAGCTTTCTTGACAATATTATTTTTCTCCCTAATCGTAGGAGAAATGAAAAAATTCAGTATTTGCTTTCTTTTAAAAGGTGGTACTGCTAATAAAGTCAGGACATGTTTTGATAATACCTTTGCTCCTCATTGCAAGATGCTGGAAGGGTTCACCAATGGCAATAAAGTACTTTGTCAAATTATGTTCCTGCAAAACGTAGCAGAAAGATTCTTTGCGTGGAGGGAAGAACGGAGTCGCTGTTCCCCTGTGGTTGGGAAGACTTGCGTGCCCCCTTCTGCAGGCGGTGTTGCGCGGGGGCCTGGTGCTTCCGTGAGATCCTTCTTGCCCCATATGACTCTGCTCAGATTTAGCCCTACTCGTGACATACAGAATCACCGTATCCTTGAATCAACTATTTGGAAACATGCAGACTATCGAAATTAAAAAAAAAAATGACTTCGGTGTTAAAGTAGGGTAAAATGTTTCTTTATTTTTTTTAAATTAAAAACTGAGTACATCTCCGTTGCAGCAACGTTTGAGTATTTAGAAAGGGTAGTGAGAAATCCCAGGCTCTGGGAACAGTCACCACCAGCATTCGGGTGCTGGTGGTCCCCGGGGGCGCGGTGCACCCTCGTCACCCTGCCTGGTTGACGGGGCAGCAGGCTCGCCTGCTTGTGAGTCCTCCTCACCGCCGCCTTCAGAAGGTGCTGCCCGGGTTGACAGGCACGTTCGTCGCGTCCAGTACTCTGGTGTCAGAAACTGCCGTCCGCGTCCGCAGCGCTGTGTGCTTGCAGCCATGGTGCTTTCCTCAGAGCAGACTCCTGGAGTTTTGGGGCTGAGAGGACTCAGGGCAAATATAAAATGTACGAGCTTAGCTTTTGGCAGATCCTCTTACCTCTGTCCACAAATTCTAAAATGAAATTTTAGTGCCACTTCAAGTTTCTGATGCTGGGGGTTTTTTGCGCATTGGAACATCACCAGTGTGTACCTTTACAAACTGTCGTGTCTCTTTCTTCCCGCCGGGAAGGGGCCCCTGCACCCTCCACTGCCCCCGCCGCACCAGCCGCAGCCCCAGCCCCCGCAGCAGCCCCCGCTCCAGCCGCAGCACCAGCCGCCGCTGCAGCCGCCCCCACAGCACCAGCCGCCCCCGCAGCCGCCTCACCAGCCCCCGCACCAGCACCAGCACCACCTCTCCGTCCCTCCACCGCCGCTCATGCCCATGGCGCAGCCCCAGTTCAGGCCTCACGTCCAGACGGCGCAGCCTCCGCCCAGCAGCGGCCGGATGCAGTGCCCCCAGCGCCAGGGACTGCGGCATGTGAGTGTCTTCCCGGGGGAGGAGGGGCTTGGAGGGCCTGGGACATGAGGGGCAGTACTTGGGAGCTGGAACATTCTCCAGTTCCGATTTAATTATTGAAACATGTATAGTACGTTTCTGTAAAGTGAGTGTATGTTTAAAAAAAACTGCTTACTTAGGAAACGGATTTTCTTAGGACTACACAAATTAAGGAAGTCCCGTTTGTGCCAGAAAGACTGCATTGATGTTCTGTACCTCCTCCTCTTACTTCTGTGTATCTAGATAGTTTCATAGTGATAGATGGTATTATTCGTAGACACGTAACTTTAGAAAATGCTTGTGGGTGGTGGGCACTCTGCCTTTGCCAGTGGCCTGCTTTTTGATGGCTGGATTGTCTCTGTCTTCTCGGGCTCTGAATAATTAAATAAATGAGTTCAGGAAGAATTGTCTGACCAGTCTGTTGCTGGGCACCATCCCAGTTCCCAGGAAAGTACCTGCGAACAGAAGGGCCAGTTTCCTGCCTTCATGAGGCCCGTATTTAATGGTGGGAGATGAATATTTAGCCATGAGGGTACAGGCTGGGGACCATCAGCTAGCGTGTGACTCGTCTTGCACGGAAGGAAACTAGGAAATGTGCGTTGCTCCACAAACACAAGACAGTAGTCTTTGCTGTTGTCTTGTCTTCCATTAAGTAACTCCATAAAGAGGCTGATGGTTAGAGCATTGGGGAGGTAATTAGGTTTTCCTTTAAGTACTTTCCCCTTGACCTGCAGCTTCAAGCGTGTCACTTAGCTACTTGTAATTTCAGTTTTCTCATACTCCCTCGCCTTTCTTTCTTTGCTAAAGTAGCATCGAGACTAACATGATGTAAGAAATGAGGAAGGACTTGGGGAGAGCTGCGTTCTAACAGAAGCTTTGTTCCATTATAGCAGCGTAACAGATACACCCCTGCCTGTGCCCTTGGGCCCCGACCTGGTGCTGTCGGAGCTCAGTCCTCCCCCAGCGGTCCCCACGACCTGTGCGCTCCTCCAGCTGTTGGCGCTCTGTTAGGAATCTGGGGGATGAGCAGGGCTAAGACTTTCCTCTCAGGTGAAACTTTGGAGCATGTTTCCCTGGCAGGGCGGTTTCCGTAGGACACTGACTGACTGTCCTGTTCTTGTTCCACCCGGAATGCAGGGTCCAGTAAAAGCGGTGCCCGTCGCCCTTTGTTGGCCCGATCAGTTTTGTTAAAAATGTCAGTCCCCGTCCTCAGGCAGCAGTTGCAGTCCTCTGGTGGTAATTTCCGTTCAAAAGGAGCCTGTCCGCAGGCAGGTAGGATAACCTTGACCAGGCCTGACCCTCAGCAGTAGCGTGTGCTGCCCCACAGAGCAGGAGCGACCGTGCGTGAAAGACGGTGTTCACATGGGAAAGTATCAGCGCCCCAGAAGGAGAAGTCACATAGTAGTTAACATGATTCTTGTAATATTTGTATCTAAGAATGCACCTTTTTATGTTCCTTCTCCCAAGTATCCAGTTGTAGTTTAAATTTCTTTCTTCTCATGCTAGAATACAACTTCTCAGAATGTGTCCAAACGGCCAATGCAGCAAATGCAGCCGGCTGCCCCGAGAAACAGTAATCTGCGGGAGCTGCCCATCGCGCCGGCGCACGTCATGGAGATGAGCAGCAGCCGCTGCTCCTCCACGCCTGCGGCTCCAGGGAAGCCTGTCGCCAGCACGTCACCGCCCACGAGGCCGGGGGGTGGGCCCAGGAGCGCACAGGGCAAGACCGAAGCCAAAGTCAAGCCAGTCAGCCCTGCGGTTCAGCCCAAAGAGGAGGCAAAAGCAGAACCAGAGGTAAGACCATTTTCATTAAAGAATCTTTGATCTCAAATGGAAAGCCTTACAATCAGCTTGTTCCTCTCAGTGTCCTCTTGTCCAGCAGGTTTTTCATGAAACTGTCACTTTTTTCCAGCCGGATCCTTCAGTGAACCTCACAGCCATGTCCATGTGAGACGCACTCATCCTCACGGGTTTATGATGTTAGGTGGCATTTGTGTGTTTGTCCGGTTGTAGCTGGTGCTGCAGAGCCTGGTACCTCCAGGGGGTGGGTAGCAGGTTATTGGATCTGTTTGCCTGAGGGGGTTCAGTCCCGGGCTCTTCCCTGGAGATACAGATGCCGCAGTGGAGCAGATCTGTGCAGCAAAGCTCCTAACCCAGCACAGGAGTCTGCTGTCCCTGGGTTAATAACGCACCCTGGGAGGGGTCCGCCGTTCGCAGCAGTGGCTTTTGTGTCTGGGGTGTGCGAAAAGATGAGTATGTGGAAGTTACACCAATATCTTTTAAAGGTATATAGAAGGTATGCAGTGAGTTCGTAACATTTAATTAATATAATGGAAACATGGGGCGCCTGGGTGGCTCAGTGGGTTAAAGCCTCTGCCTTCGGCTCAGGTCATGATCCCGGGGTCCTGGGATCAAGCCCCGTGTCGGGCTCTCTGCTCAGTGGGGAGCCTGCTTTCTTCTCTCTCTGCCACTCTGCCTACTTGTGATCTCTGCCTGTCAAATAAATAAAATCTTTAAAAAAAAATAAAACAGCAGTGTGAAGAACTTCATGAGGTAATGTAGGCATGAAATGAGTCACGTTTTCTTTTTTCTTTTTCTTTTTTTAAAAAAGATTTTATTTATTTGTCAGCGCAGACAGGCAGGGGCGGCAGCAGAGCAGGCAGAGGGAGAGGAGGAAACAGGCTGCCCGCTGAGCAGGGAGCCCAGTGCGGGGCTCGATCCCAGGACCTTGGGATCACGACCTGAGCCGAAGGCAGACGCTTTACCGACTGAGCCGCCCAGACGTCCCTAAGTCATGTTCTCTTAATCAGTTACCTTTCTGTTGAAATTTGGAGGTGGGGTCAGATTTTCCGAATAGACTTTTTTTTTTAAAGATTTGTTCATTTATTTTTTTAGAGAGCGAGCTGGTGGGAGGGAAGGGCAGAGGGAGTAGGAGAGAGAATCCCAAGCAGGCTCCTCGCCCGCTGTGGAGCCCGACGGAGGGCTCCGTCTCAGTGCTCCTCGTACCGCAACCTGAGCCAACATCAGGATGGAACGTTTGACGGCCCTCAGCACCCGGGTGCCCAGGCTTTCCTGGTAAATGCTTGCCGCAGTGGTCACGTCCCATCGCCACGTGAGGGAAACGCAGTCGAGGCGCAGCGTTAACCACTGGGATCATATTAAAAGAATGGGCGAGTTTCTTGGTTTTAAAGTCAATGTATGAAAAAATGAGGTAGGTTTACAAAGTGGTCTAGGATAGTTTACAAAAAGCAATTCCAGCTAAAAGCTTGAGCCCGCTGACTGCCCTGATGGCTCGCCCGTGTGTGTATGACCTGATGGGGCCCGGGGACACGCGGTCACCGGACTCTTGAGGTTTCTCGTAGCGGTGGCCGAATGGCGTGAGCGGGGGCGCCGCGGCCGCTGCGCTGCTCTGTCCCCGGCCGGCGTGGGGACGCCTCGGTGGAGCCCGCGGGGCTCCGCGTCTGCAGCGGCACGCGCAGGGGCCGGCGTGTGCGTCGGCTGTCTTGGTGGTTTGCGTGTGGTTCTGCGCCGGGACCGCGAGGGGCACCGTTGTACTTTGTGCGGAGCCTGGTGTCCGTCCGGCTTGGGGAAACGTGCTCGGCCCTTACGGTCGCCCAGCTGGCGGCGAAACCGCAGAGGACAAAGCCGCGTTCAGGTGTGCGCTCGTATCTGCTTGAGCGTGTGCTCACACTTTCTTGACTGCTGGGAGCTGGCTTGCTGAGCGTGAACCTCCCCCGGCAGTCGGCCTCTCCCTGAAAGCCGCGGCGCCTGCGCCTTTGAGCTGTTGTCCACGTCCTCCTGTCGGTCCGTCTTCCCTTAACAAGTGTTGTCTTTCTCCGATGCCTCCCTGAGCCTTCATCGACCTTGGATTGGTTACTTCAGGTCTGTCCTAGACTTTGGAAGTCGACAACCAAGTTGGCTGGGATGGCTTCCGAAATGCCAGGCAAGTCCTCACGAGGCCGGACTCTGTCCTTGGTCATCTGTGTGGGTTCTGGGAGCACCCACAGACTCCTCAGCTGCCTTTTGGTCTTAATTCCTGATTCTCAAGGGTTATTTGTTCCTGGCCGAATTATAGTGAGATCAGGTCCTATTAAGTTCTCTTGTAAAGGATCTTTGGATGAGGGCATCTGCGATTTTTTTTTTTTTTTTTAAAGAAAATTACTGTAATTCTTGACAAATGCTTATCCTAAATAAACTTTCCTCATGGGATGCTTTTTATGAAAGTTCCTGAACTTTCTCAAAGATTTTTTTTGGGTGGACTTTCAGAACAGTTTGGGACTGGCACGTACGAGGCCTGCCTTACACACCATTCGTATTCCGGTACTGCGTTCGCGGCATTTTGATTCTGTGGGGAGTGCGCGAGTTCAAGGTCAGAGAGATTGACTTGTGCTGTTCATTATAACCAATTATTCTGTGACAAATGAGTTTGAGATCAGGCTGAAAATTCTGTACGAAAAATCAATAGTTCTAATCAGGCCCTTTCAGGTCATTTACACCCACCTTTTGTTGGTTCGTCAGAGAAGAGCCAGATAAAACCTCTCTGACAGCACGGTCTCCCTACTGTTGCCGTTTCCATTCGAAACATATTTTGATATCTTAAATGAATACTTTAATTGGTTTCAAACTTGTAAATGAGTGGAAATTTACATTATTTCAATAGTTTCTAATATTCTGATAAGATTTTCCAAATTAGCTTGAGCTGCGTGTAATCGTTTCTCCCTCCCCAGAGGAAGGAGTTATCCTTAAAGTCTATAAGCAGATTTTGAATGGCTTCTTTCCGATCCCGAGCGGAGCGTTTTTGGAAGGCGCGCTTTCTCGGGCTGCTGCGCCGGCCCGGCTCCGCCGGCTTCGCCTCCTGCTCCGCAGTAAAGCAGACGTGTGTTCTCTTGCAGTTTCCTGACGAAGACGAAGAGACGAGGCTGTACCGCTTGAAGATAGAGGAGCAGAAGCGCCTGCGGGAAGAGATCCTCAAGCAGAAGGAGCTGCGTCGGCAGCAGCAGGCGGGCGCGAGGAAGAAGGAGCTGCTCGAGAGGCTGGCCCAGCAGCAGCAGCAGCAGCTCCACCTGCCCCCCCCGGCCGCGGCCGAGCAGGAACAGCCCGCCGCCGCCCCGTCGCCCACCAACGGGAGCCCACTGTTACCCTTCCCAGGTGCACAGGTCAGACAAAATGTGAAAAACAGACTTCTCGTGAAAAACCAGGATGTCACGGTTTCAAATGTTCAGCCCAAAACATCCAATTTTGTGCCATCTGGTGCTAACATGCAGTATCAAGGACAACTGATGAAACCGTTGAAACACTTGAGACAGGCCAGAACCGTACCTCAGAGTCCAGCTCAGCACAAAGTCCTGCAGGTCAAACCTGCGGACGGGGAGGGGCCGCCACCCCCCTCACAGACCGCTCGAGTGGCGTCCCTGCAGGGCCGGCCCCCGGACGCCAAGCCCGGCGCGAAAAGGACTGTCATGCACCGGGCAAACAGCGGTGGCGGAGATGGGCCGCACGTCAGCTCCAAGGTCAGGGTGATTAAGTTGTCAGGCGGGGTAAGTTGACGAGGTAACTGGTGCCTCTTGGAATCTGTGCTTCCCTCACAATGTCCTAATTCCCAGAGAAGGGTTTCGAAGAGAGGGAAGTCAGAGCCGCCTCTGTTGCGGCCCCACGGGCCAGCCGCTCCGTGCTCGCACTCGGTGACGAGAGTCGCCGTTGAGGTTCTCCTTCCGGCCGGGACCCGTGGTCTTTCAGACCCTGTCTTGAGTTTTCCTGAAAGACCAGTGGGACAGTCCCCAAATTAGGTGTTTCTCACTTGTGGCTTATTTTTGTAGATAATTTGTGATAGAAACATCAGGTTTGTTTTAAAAATAAAATTTCCTTTACCAAAAAACAAGTAATCTGTGGTGTGCAGCTGTAGGTCCAGGGAGCACCCGGGGGGGCAAGCGTGCCTCGTGCGGCTGCTTTTAAGCGGTGGCGTTTCAGAGGCCCGTCCCGTCTTCTCTTCTCAAGCTAATCTCTGCCCTCGTGAAGACCAAAAGGATTAACCGAATCCGCAGTGAAATGTCCTGTACAATCTTAACCACCTGCGTGCAGAAGGGGAGCGCGCCTCCTTTCTTTCTTTCCTTGCGGGCGGTTCCCCTTCTAGATCATTCTCAGTGAGGCACAGCCATTGCGATTCGGATGAGCTCTGTACTCAAGAGTAGACACAGTTGCTGCAGACAGGTCGCCCTGCCGAAGGTTCTCGGTCAGGCAGCGCTCTGTAGCATCCGTCCCTACCGTGCCACGTGCTCTTGACCCGCTCACGGGAGGGGACTCGTCTGTCCTGTGTCGATGGCGGGGCGCCCTGCGGTTTAAGGAGTTCAGTTTTATCTTTTATTTCTAGGTCCGTAGACTGAAAGTGTGAGCTTTTCACGTGTGATGAGAAAAATTTTGATAGAATAGTGTGATCTAGAGATTCCATCTTCAACAGACCCTGTGCTGTTTTTTCAGATCTGTTTTTCTCACCTCCGTTCATTGTGATTCAGAGTGTAGATAAGCAGATGGCCTCTATCACGTTAGCTTGTCTCATCATTGTATGCATTTGCTTTCTTCAGGCAAGACCTAAGCAGGAAGCAGTTTCACGGTATCTGTGGTCTTCTGTTTTGACCTTATTTTAGGCAGACTTGTCAGTGTCTCATTTTTTTGCTTGAGTTAAAAACTTAGGAGGAGGGGACATGGGGCCACGGGGCCACGGTTGGGAGGAGGCCTTTTCCCGTGACATTCATGGTTGGTGTTGTGTGTAGTGTGGCTCGTGGGAAGTGAGGTTCTCTTGTGGGCTGGGAGGTCCAGGGGCTGCTGTGCTCTGAGAGCAGCTTTCCCACTAACAAGCGCCTTTCCTTTAAAAGAATTTATCTACTTAAATTTTTGGTTATTTCTCCATTGGGGGGAAAATGTATATTTTGTAAGACTGTATTCCAGAATCCTGCTGTCTAATTACATAGCACACAGAGGAACAACAGAGGACTGCTGTGCCAAAATAGCTCCTTGACAGCATTTGGAATAACTTTTTATCTCTTTGTAATTCTTAAGTCACCTAACCAACATGTTCTGTGTCTTAGGATTTATTCCAGCAAGTCCTGCAGTGGCGTGTTGGCAACCTTCAACTTACGGGGGAGTCAGTATCCCTTGTGTGTCTGTCTCTGAACCAGAAAAAACTGGTATTTCCCAAGAGGCCTTGGGTCTTTTTGTGTGGGTAGAACTGTTCTTAAGAGAACATATTCCTGACCGTGCAGGTGATGCAAAAAGGAAACCATTCGTTAGGTGCTGGGTCAGCTCCCATTTCTCCTGACTCTTGTCTCTGCCCCTGCGGGCCTCCCTCTTTTCTCTGCGGGCCCCGGTGTTATGCCTGGGGCTCAGCCGGCACCCTGGTAAGGCTTTGACAGGCTTAGCACATCACACCCGTGCAGAGCAATATTTATGCGTTTCAGGTTTATAATTACTTACGGAATAAAAGCATCTCGTCGTCTGTTCATGTTCTTGTATTTTGTTGCGAGGCCTGGACTTCTCTACATCCTGTTAGTGCAGAGGCACAGGATATTGTCCTTACAAGGTTTCCTAGAGAGGTTTACTGTGGAGAGGGTCAGTTTGTTTCCTTTGCTTTTTTCTGACCTAAACTGGTGGCAAATAGATGCTGTTACATTATCCATTCGTCGTGGCCTCCTCTAGCTGCGTTGCTCGGTCTCTAGAGAGGACATAGGACGCGGCAGTGCATAGTGTCCCGCTAGAAGGTCCGGTGGAGGTCACAGTTGAGCTCGGTGTCCATCGGATGCTTAGGAAAGCAGAAATGTCTCTGAACTCTTATTCTGATGTACAAATTGGAAATGCCTTAAAGCTTAATTTGGATTGTCCGGGTGTGCCTGTGAGGCGATTGTGAATCAATGCAAAGTTCTCTTTTGTTATTTTCCGTCTTTCATTATTTATAATCAAATAATCTTTGGGTTTTATTACATTGGGTTTTTTAAAATGTGAAAGAGCCAAGTCTTAAAACAGTAGTTATTTTTTTAGTCGTTTTATTATTTTATTTTTAAAGTGATTTTAATTCACCCTAATCACAAGAGAATTTCTTGTCCTTTTATATCGTTTCTCTCTGTTACGGCTAATGCATCCCGGGCCTAGGAAGCGTTTTCAAAAAGAATTTAATAAAAATTCTTTGTGGGTCTAAGTTCTCACGTCACGGCGACGAGTGGCGTGGTGAAGCCCGGAGAGTCGCCACCTTCTTGGTCACCGGTCGTCGTGAGACGCCCTTTCAGGAAAGGTAGCGGTGGAAGCGCTCCCTCGCCCGGACAGAGCGCTCCGGTCCCTCCGTCTGCGGTGGCGCGACACGGTGGGACCCCAGGGGCTGTCCGTGAGGAGGACCCGCGTCTGCGTGGGCGCGTGTCGGTTCCTTGCTCCGAACCCCAGTGTCTGGGCTCCGCGCCGGGTTGTAGAGTGGCCGTGGGAGTGCGTGGCGGCGCGTCCGGCGTGCGGAAGGCGCCCCGCGCCCGTGTGCTCGCTGCTCGCTTCTCGGGCGCTGCTGAGGCCCCGCAGGAGCGCGGTCGCGGCTCCGCCGCACAGTGGTGCTGCCGAGCGCATGCGCGGGGCGGCCTCGTGAGGCGGGTGCGTGCGTGCCCGCGGCCGGGGGAGGACGTCCGTCCCGGGGACGCCGTGCGAGCAGCCCCGGGCCCCGCAGCTGCTGGTGGCCGCGGCCAAGGTTCTCGGGATTTGTGTCTGTAACAGATACAAACGTGGTTCGCCCGCTGCCTTGTTCCGAAGTGTTCCCTGCTCTCGGGCAGGGATGGCCCCCGGCTCTTCCCGGGGGTTCGTGGCGGCATTGATTCGGAAGAGTTGTAGCCGGGGCTTCTCCCGCGATGCGAGGGGTGATGAGCTTCCACCTCTCTGGCCGCCCGCAGGGTAGCGGCCGCCTGCAGAGTGTGGAGAAGGTGTCCGAGGTTGGAGAAAAGTGTCGCGATGGGGGCGTAGCAGCAGCGCTGTGGGCACAGGACTGGAGTGTGGCCGGGTTTCCGTCATTCCTGTTGAGAGCTTGAACGTGGGGGTAAGCGCGGGGGGCCTGACCTCTGGCCCGGTGGGGCGGGCTCGGGGTAGCCGGGCTCCCTGCGGCTGTAACAAGTGCGGTCACATTTTGTACGGAAAACGCTGGGGTGGGAATGAGGGGAATGTGCTGTTTAAGGAGACCCGTGTTGGGAGACTCGCCGACAGGCGTGTGGATCTCCGCTTTCCCGCTCAGAGTTTGCGGTCGGGCGTGGCTCGGCAGATTACCGAAGCCGGGAGCGTGTGTGGCGCGGTGGTTTGCGAGGTGCTGGGTCTTGTTGCGCGTTTCCGGAATTTCGTACGCCTTCCCGGGGTTGCTTACACGTAAGGAATCTACCTGAAGAGCTGTGTGTGATGGGATCGTTCTTCTTCATTATGTCATATGTGGAAAAATTCACTTGCTCATGTCTCAGAAAGATACTTTAGTATTTAATTTTCAGACACCAAAAGAGCAATCTTTTTACCTAGTTTTGTTTATAACCAATACGTAATCCGGGAAAACTACTCAAGTGAAAACTCAAGAATATGAAGTGTTTACTCAGAGCGAACTCGCTGTCGTCGCGCACCCAACCGTTGTGAGTGAGGACTCGGCGGGAACGAGCCCGAGCGCGCGCCACGGGGCCTCCCTCACGAAGGACTCGCGCCACGACTGCAGCTCTGGGTCCGGGCTCGGGCGCGTCGGGTCGTGGCTTCAGGGAACCTTCATTCGGGGCCCCCGCGGGCCCGGCGTCCTCCGGAAACTGCGGCGCGCTCCCCCAGGCCGGCTGGGAGGGTCCCAGGCAGCGGCTTAGTCAGGGCGGCAGTTTCTGGAGCTCTTGAAGAGGACGGAAGCAAACTCTGAATTCAGCGGCTTTATTCTAATTGAGGTAATAAAAATTTTAAGAATTTGGCAGCAAATTAAGTAAACAGGCCTTTGTTCTGCCGGCCACACAGAGAAGTGGGAGAAGCCAGAATGCCTCAGCAGGAAAGCCAGCTGTCCAGTTGCGATGCTCTTGTATTTTATTTTTAAAAGGCTGTCAAGTGCTGCTTGCAGAAGGTCCCAGCGTATCTGTGCGCGTGCGCTTGCTCTGGGGGGTCGGACAGCGTTCGTCCGTTCCTGCCCGCCCTCGCCCGCTCCCAGGTTATTCTCAGACTTTCTTCAGGATGTGGCAGAGGAGGGAACACGTACATACCTGATTGTTCTGTGTTTGGTGGAGGACGTTTTATTTGGATGTAATTTCGGTCGAACAGAAGTTGCGAAAACAGGATAAGGACCTCCTGCCTCCCTCCCCGCCCCCCCCACTTTATGTTTTGCCCCGTTGCGTTGCCGCCGTGTCTCTCTGCCCGCCCCGCACTCAACGCAGCTCTGTCACTGCCGGGGAGTCTGTCGCAGCCTCGCCGCGTCTCTCCTCCGCAGCGAGCTCTCCTCTTGCACATCCATGAGGACACGTCCTCGGAACTCAGCATCGACACAGCGCAGCTCGTCCCCGGCATGGCTCTCCCAGTG